AAATCTATTTTCGTGTGGCTTAGTGCAGCTTCTCTGAGTTCCGTGTGGTGCTGTGGAGTGAGCTCATTCCCCACTCCTCACTTTCGACCTTTGTTTTCAGCCTTTGTTGAATCTAAAATGCGCCTCATGGAGACAGCAGATTGTGGGATCTCGTTTTTTTTTAATCCAGCCTGACAATCTCTGCCTCTCACTGGCTTCATCATTCACATTTAATGTTATGATGGACAGAGCTGGACGTCCATCTGCTGTTTGCTGTTTGGCCTCCCCGTGGCCTCCATTCTGGCTTTCTTCTGCATTAAGGGAATATTTTCCAGGGTAGCAATTTAATGATTTTTAAAACGTGTTTCTTGGCTATTTTCTGAGCAGATATTTTATGGTACTATATGTACCACAATTTATCAGAATTTGCTTCAGATTATACTAACGTAATTCCAGTACAGGAAAGAAATGCAATCTGACACCTGCCAGCAGGCACGTCTACCTCCTGGGGTGGAGCCTTCTTGGGGGCGGCGTGGAGCGGGCTCCATCCTCTCCGCTGTCCTTTTCTGGCCCCTCCAGCTTGGGTCTGGGTCCAGCTTGGCCTGCCCCGGCTGGGGAGCTACTGTATTTCTCGGCTGGGACCTGGGGGTGCGGGAGCAGAGGGCAGCCCTGAGTTCTTGGCTCGAGTCACCCTAAGCCTGCTCTTCCTGGCAAAGCTGCTGCTCCCCTTCCCAGTTCAAAACAGAAACCCCATGGGACTGAGACAACTCGGGAGGCAGCGACACCACAGGCAAATTCTTCCAGAGCCCCAAGAAGGAGCCTGGGCACCCTGGGCAGGGCAGCAGGAGTGAGGTTCGGGGACAGAAGCTTTGAGTCCCCGGGCTTTGGAGAGCAGACAGACACTTGAGCTGCCACCCCTCCCAGCCCGGTCCGGACTGTGGGCACCCACTGGACCCTGAATTGGGATCCACGTGCAAACAGCAGGAGCGCAGAGGCCCTGTTGGGGCGGAGTGGGAGTGGAATGGGGGTGTGGAGGGCGCAGCGGCGCCACCTAGCGCCCAGGCCTCGCCGGTGCTGCTCTCCCCTCAAACCCACCAAGTCCACAAAGTGGGGGTTCAGGGACCAAGCGCTCCAGAGTAGGACCGGCGGGAGATGGCGGGCACAAAAGTGATGAGGAAAAAACAACTTGCCATTAATGTGCACTGGGCTGCTGCAGATGACGGCGGTCTGCTGCACAGATTCCCACATGAGCTTCTTGCCTTCGGCATGATCGTCATGGCTTCTGGTGACACAGCGAGGGTTCCGTTTTGCTCTTGCAGCCGCTGATTGTGAGGTCGGACGGCGGTGAGACACCCTGTGGTGACACTGGTGCTCTTCCCGACCCTTCCAAGGCATTTACAGACGTGGAGGTCAGAAACCAGACAGAGCCGTGGACTTAACTATTCTTTGCTTGGGGAATTGCTTATGCATTTTAAAAAAGATTTATTTATTTGTGCACACAGAACTGGGGTACAGGCCAGAGGTGCAGGGGGTGAGAGGACTGCCCAGAGTCAGAATGGGGTGCAGAACAGGCAGATCAACGAAGTACACTGCTGAGGGGAGCAGCGGGCGGGTCAGGAGAGGTCTGCGGTGCCCTGTGAGTCACCTCTGGGGCCGGGGATGGAACCCGCACTGAAGTGGCTGCAACCAACTTGCAGTGCTGCGTCCTAACCGCCCCCCGCCCCACCCAGGGAAGGCCCTGCATATGCATTAAAAAAATAAATCGATCTTGGGATAATTATAAACACACAAGAGGCAGCAAAAATATTACGGCAATCCATATCCCTCTCACCCCGACTCCCCAGCGGCAGCATCTCAGCCAGCTGTAGCCCCTTCACCCAACTTCCCAGGGGCAGCGTCTCATGCAGCTTTAACTCAGGAGCAACGCTGGCGTGGTGACCACCCCCGTTACAGCACAAGACAGCAGGACCCGCTCTCCTCACTATGTGAGAATCTGCACTCATCTGTGGTGGGCATGTGGGCATGTGTACACAGGTGTGCGTGGGCAGGTGAGCACACAGGTGTGTGTGGACAGGTGTGCACAGGTGCGCATGTGGGCATGTGTGTGGGAGGTTCTGTTCTGTTCCATCTCAGGTGTGGATCTGTAGAAGCGCCACAATCAGGGTGCAGATCGCGCCCTTACACAGAAGAACCTGTCTACGCCCTATCCAGCCTCTCACGTGGCTTCCGCCTTGGCAGCCCCGGTCTCAGGAGTGCGGCCCACAGGAGGCCATCGGACGCAGACTGCGGCTGACCTTGACGGAGAAGTGGCCTGAGGCCCTGCCCACTGCTGGCCCAGGCGGGACTCAGCCGTTCCTGTCTGTTGCGAGAGGCCCCATGAGCCCATGAGCGGCTTTGGTGTGGGCAGGAGTCTCCATTTCTCAGAGAGGAATGCCCACGAGAGCGGCTCTGGGCGCGCCGGGGTGTGAACGCCAAGTTTTCTGAGAGACTCAGGGCTGTTCTCCAAAGGGGCCGAGCCCTCTTGCACCCCAACCGGCGGTGCGGGGAGCCCCAGCATCCCGTGGCTCCACGGCGCTGGCATTAGGACCCTGTGAGGCTGCAGCTTCCCAACCGACCCGCGGCGGCCTGGTGGCTTTCGTTCGTGTGTCCCGTGGCCTGTGTGGGCGTATGTTTTTTTTTTTTTTTTTTAAGATTTATTTATGTGTGCATATAGAACTGGGGTACAGGCCAGAGGTTCAGGGGTGGTGAGAGACTTCACCAGGGACAGAGTGGGGAGTAGAACCGGCAGATCGATGAAGTCCACTGCTGAGGGGAGCAGCGGGCGGTCAGGAGAGGTCTGCCGCGCCATGTGGTCACCTCCGGGGCAGGCGGGGATAGAACTCATGCGGAAGTGGCTTTAGCTTCTCAGTGCTGCGCTTTAACCCGCTGTGCCACCAGGGAGGGCCTTTTTTTTTTTTATTATAATGTATTTTTATTGCTATTATTTTAATGACTTTAAAAAATTATAGTAGTTTTATTACTTTTGTGCCTTTTTTCATCTCAGTTGCAATCCCCGTGGGCTCCCGTCACCAAATCACCTGTGTGCCATCATCTTCCCCCCCACCCCCATTTTTGATCCCATTCCCCACTCCACCCCGTCTCTGCTCTATAGCTGCTCGTTATTATTATTATTATTTTCTCGCCTATTCCGTTATGTTTGTTTTTAAGATGTATTTATTCTGCACACAGAACTGGGGTGCAGGCCAGAGGTGCAGGTGGTGACAGGACTCCCCAGACACAGAGTGGGGAGCAGAACAGGTGGAGCCGCTGGAACCCAAGGCCCAGGGGAGCAGCGGGGAGACAGGAGGGGTCTCTGCCCCACCCCGGCCAGCTCCGCGGCCAGCCCCGCCCTGTGGCATTATGGGCGCAGCACTAGCAGCTGGCGGCAGCTGCAGCCCGAGTCTGGCCCCGCGGGCTCATGCTTGATCCGCCAGTGGGTTGCGTCACACCAGGTTCCTTGCTACGGGCCTGCCAGCTCACTTCCGGTGCTCTGTGACGCAGCCAGCTCACTTCCGGTGCTCTGTGACGCAGCCAGCTCACTTCCGGTGCTCTGTGACGCAGCCAGCTCACTTCCGGTGCTCTGTGACGC